TTCAGAGAGGATGAGGGTGTTTTCTGTAAATGAACAAACGTTTCACGTCGTGTAAACGGGGCCTCAGACCGGCTGCCTTGTCTGTCAATCAAGAGACACATTTCATAGATGATGATCGGCTGATGTTTGTTTTTTAATGTCATGAGATCTATGAGATCTACCCAGAATCCCTTTGAGATCGTGGTTCTGAATTCTTTAAACCTGACAAAAACTCACCGTCAGGTCCTGTCTGATGGCAAAGTTCTCAGGTTTGATGTCGCACAGGTGCAGCTGGTGGGTGAAGTCATTGTCGAAGTGCCACACGAGGTCCAGGAAGCTGATGGCGATGCGGTGGACCATCTCCCTGGTGGTCCACCTCTCCTGGACTCTGGCCTGGTCCTGATCCCGCAGCCCAGGAACATTCACCTCCTCCAGGGAGAAGATGTTCTGGTCCCAGGCATGTCCGGCCGACAGGTACTCCACTGCGTAGAAGTGACCGCAGGAGCCCAACACCTTGGCCACGTGAGGGCTGAGGTCCTGCAGGACTCTGGAGAACAGGAGGAGCTTAGATTACCATGGAGATCTGGATGATCAATCAGGGTAACAACACCCAAGAAACCTCCAGTCAGGGTAAAAACCAGATGCTAGCATTTCCAGAAAACATATAGTCCAAAGTCCTACAGCTAAGCAGAAGAGCTTCTGGGTGTGTGGTTGGGTTTACCTGAGGAAGGTGTACTCCTCCTGCTGAAGCAGCGACCACAGAGAGCCCAGCTCCGCTCTGGAGTAACTCTTCTCTCTGATCTTCAGCTTCTTCCCCCAAAGTTTGGCCATTGAGCCGTTGGTTCCTCCTCCCTCCTCGTCCTCAGCATCGTCAGAAAGCCCCAACGAGTTTCGGACCTGCAGTCAGAGGAGGTCAGCCTCTAGCGCTGGGTCAGGGGTTCAACGCTCGAGTCGACAACGTGAGACCACTCACCTCCATGGTGGCGTAGAACACGACATCGAGAGCCGACAGCTCCTCTGCTGCGTCCTCCTGGGCAGAACAAAGAACACGAAGAACTGTTGGGGGATGTAAAGGTCATGGATGTTTTTCACTTACTAATGTCAAATTGATAGAGAACCATGTATGTGAAGACAAGGAAGTGTTCCTGTCTTCTCAGAGAGGAGCCTGACAACTGAAAACTGATCAACTCTGACCCCTTCAACTACCGTGAGCTGTGAAGCAGAGGTCGTCTTGACCTCAGTCTGATAACTTTGTTAACTCCTTCTCTGTGAGCAGACCTTGGAGATGAAGGGACATTCAACATCTTGATGCTTGTATTTCAACACTGCTCCTCTTGCGAGTTTAAACCTGGGCTAAGAGAGATCTTCTCCTTTCCTGTGTGGGTATTTATTTAATGAGCTGATGATTCAATAATTAAATTGTTCAACAAGAACGTCTCCAAGTCCAGAGGAGGAAGTACAGTCCAGACTTCACCTGGTAGTCCAGGATCCCCAGGGGCTCATAGGACGAGAAGTTTTCCAGTTTGGACTTGAGGATGATGGGGTTTCCCCTCCACCGAGCCTCAATCACCTTCTTCCCGTTCTCGTAGTAAAGGCAGCGCTTGTACTGGACCAGACCGAGCCTGCAGAGGTCCTCGCACATGTCCCCGGTCACAGAGCCCTCGCCGAAGTCCAGACACTGAAACGGGACAGAAGAAGAACCGGCAGAACGTTAAACTGTGACAAAAGGAGGAAAAATGGCCCAGAAGAGGTGCATGGGTGATAAACGTCAGTTTATTGATGTCGGGAGGAAATCGAGAACTTTTTGAAACTTCCTGTTCTGAGAAAATTTCACTAAAGCCGTCGACGTTTTCTCTGGTGAAAGTTTCAGTTTCTGCTGAACTTCAAAACGTTTTTCTTCTGTGAGCTGTGAAAACATGACGGACACACGTGTTGAAGCCAACATGTCTGAGCGGCTCCGTGTTCGCCGGATCTGCTCGGGGATTACTGGGATAATCCCAGCTCAGCCCACATTCCAACACAAACATCCGTCATGGAGACGCGACACACATGAACGCCGCCAACACACACGCCTGCTGCTGGTACCAGTCAGGAGAAAACACGCAACGTTCCAAACTGGAACAATTAAAGAACTTCATCTAAACTCTTCATGGCCTTAGACCGGCTCGACTGCCTGAACACCAAGGGCTTACTCTCAAAGCCAACAGGAAGTCGTTTCAGAAACTGCAGACTGCAACGATCGTGGGATTAAAGGAGCGTCGGAGAGCGTGAACATTTTGTCGAGCTTTAATTCCATTTCCTGTTTGTTATTCTGTAACTTCCTGTTTTTACTTCATGCTGCCCGTTTGGTTTTCTCTGTTTTCACACCTGACCACTGGCACACCTGTACTCTGCCGTCCAGCAGGTTGGAGCTCCCAGTCCTGCCGTTGTTTTGGGTCAGAACCGCCTGCGAGGAGCTTGTTAATTATTAAACGCCACATTAAAGAACTGATAAAACTAAACTTTAATGTGTAAAAGCTGTTAGACTTCCAAAATAAGATCTGGGAGACGTTGAGTTTCCTCTCAGACCAGTTGAGTCCGTCATCGCCCCGAGGTTCAGGGAGGGCCGGTGTTGAGGGTCCGGTGACCACGGCCCGCCTCCCCCCGATGGTTCCTGTCGTCTCTGCGGTTCTGATCCGCCTCCAGCTCCTTTCTGAACAGAACCTCTCAGCTGAAGGAAACGGCTGCGGACGGTCAGAACTCGTCAGGTTTGTTCAGAACCTTCGGCTGCAGGACGAGGCCAGAAAGAAAAGTCCATTTAAAACGTTTTCAGCCGGAACTGAAAAAGTTTAAACTACTTAGATTAAATTAAACCACACGAGAAGACTTTTTTTAATTTTAAATGTTTTTATTAAAAGACTCGTTCTTCAACAACCAGAGAAGAAATGTTCATAAAATCCTTCCAGAAGTTTCGATTTCAACTTTTCTGAAGCTCCTTAAACCAGACTCTAAGCATCAGCTAGAACCCCGTCTGAGCTCCTCCCATCAGAACCTCCTCTCCTGAGGAGGTTCTGATGGGAGGAGCTCAGGAGCATCAGCAGGTTCTGATGGGAGGAGCTCAGGAGCATCAGCAGGTTCTGATCTCTGCAGCTGTTCCGCCTCCTCTGATCCCGTCAGCTCCGAGAATTTCCTCCCGCTCAAATCGATTTACACAAACTGACTGTTTCCTCTGAGCCGAAGGTTCCGGAGGACTGAGCCGAAGGTTCCGGAGGACTGAGCCGAAGGTTCTACAGGACTGAGCCTAAGGTTCCAGAGGACTGAGCCGAAGGTTCTACAGGACTGAGCCGAAGGTTCTACAGGACTGAGCCGAAGGTTCCAGAGGACTGAGCCGAAGGTTCTACAGGACTGAGCCAAAGGTTCCAGAGGACTGAGCCGAAGGTTCTACAGGACTGAGCTAAAGGTTCATGAGGACTGAGCTAAAGGTTCCGGAGGACTGAGCAGAAGGTTATGAAGAACTGAGCCGAAGGTTCTACAGGACTGAGCCGGAGGTTCTACAGGACTGAGCTAAAGGTTCCAGAGGACTGAGCCGGAGGTTCCAGAGGACTGAGCCAAAGGTTCTACAGGTCTGAGCTAAAGGTTCTGGAGGACTGAGCAGAAGGTTATGAAGAACTGAGCCGAAGGTTCTACAGGACTGAGCCGAAGGTTCTACAGGACTGAGCCAAAGGTTACGAAGAACTGAGCTGAAGGTTACGGAGGTCTGAGTCGAAGGTTACGAAGAACTGAGCCGAAGGTTCTGGAGAACTGAGCCGAAGGTTCCGGAGGACTGAGCCGAAGGTTCCAGAGGACTGAGCCGAAGGTTCTGGAGGTCTTAGCTAAAGGTTCCTGAGGACTGAGCTGAAGGTTCCGGAGGACTGAGCCGAAGGTTACGAAGAACTGAGCTGAAGGTTCCGGAGGTCTGAGCCGAAGGTTCTGGAGGTCTTAGCTAAAGGTTCCTGAGGACTGAGCTGAAGGTTCCGAAGAACTGAGTCGAAGGTTCCGGAGGTCTGAGCCGAAGGTTCCGGAGAACTGAGCCGAAGGTTCTGGAGGTCTTAGCTAAAGGTTCCTGAGGACTGAGCCGAAGGTTACGAAGAACTGAGCCGAAGGTTCCGGAGGTCTGAGC